ATAAGAAGACATAAAACTGGTAGATGAATATATTGGGAGGAGTGGGGGTGTATTGGAGGAAAGGATTAGGGGTGGATATTATCAAAATGGATTGAATACATGCATTAAATTCAAGAAGAATAAATCCACATCTTATATGAAAAATAAAGAAAAAATAGCCAGGCGGTGGTGGCGCACGCCTTTAATCCCAGCACTTGGGAGGCAGAGGCAGGTGGATCTCTGTGAGTTCGAGGCCAGCCTGGTCTACAAAGTGAGTTCCAGGAAAGGTACAAAGCTACACAGAAAAACCCTGTCTCGAAAAACCAAAAAAAAAAAAAAAAAAAAAAAAAAAAACTTTGTTCATTGGAAAATAAATTGTTTTAAAAGTATATTTCTCTTAAGTAAAAAATCTGTGTCACTTTTGTTTTCCCCGCACTCTGCTTTTCTCTCTTGGCATGCTTTGACATGTGTAAATGGATGACAGTATGCATGCCAACAATAAAATTTGGAAGCTATGTACAATGTTTAATTTTCCAAATATGGCAATGTTTTATAAAGTACAAATACAATCTTCTCTGCAATACAAATGGGATTTTACCCAGTAGTGTGTGTTTACACTATTCATTAAACATTGATCAACTTTCCACCATATTTGATATTTGGATTTTCTCTTCTCATAAAAGCAGGAATCTACATGTTTTTAATTTTATTTTTGAAAAAGTAGAATATTGTGCATCATGAAATTATGTGGGCAGTCATTTGTCCAAATGCTGAAAAAGCATGGGAATAGTCATTAGCTAAAAAGGAAATTGAGACATTTTTAATTAGGAAGACACATGGAGAGGGAGCAATACAGACTGTGTTGAGATTAAGAGAATTTCAACATCTCATAAACATTTGAATATGTTACAGTAAAGCAAATTCTCTGTGTGCTCACAGGTGAGCACAGGGTGGTTACTACCTTGTGTCAGGGAGAAATGTTCTAGCAAATATACAGAACTAAAACAAGGAGAGTTATGTGGCCACACTGTAAAATGGAGAGTGAACATCACAAGACGTTTTTGGAGCATTGGTGATTATGTACACATGACATGAAAAGTATCAGGCCAATACAAGTCATAGGGATGTTCTCACAAAGTCTCTCCCCAAGCTGAGGAGCTTTGGAAGATGCTGGTTGCTGTCAGAGGGAGAACATCCCTGTTTTCATGGATGAGACCCCTGGTAGATAGATCTACAGCCACACACATATAGGCAGCACTAAATGGACTCATTGGGTTCAAAAGAAAAGTACAGGCACTGCGAAATTCTCAAATTTATAAAATGGAACTTGAGGCAGCCTATTGACAAAACCATTAAAGGAATATCTTGTAATCTCTATAATTGGTTTAGAGCTATCAATGTGATGGAAACAGAGAAATAACAGGCAAATATACAGTTTTAAGGACTAAGATACGTGAGTAGTTCAAAACCTTCAATAGAGAAGGTCATCCATGGAAAGGCACATGACAAGAGTTCAAATAGAAAAGCAAGAAACTACAAACATTAATTGGGCAAGATTAGAAGAAAAAAACTTAAGAAGCAGAGATGGCCTGCTAAACTGGCAGAAGGGACCTGAGCAGGGCTGTGTGAACAAAGCATAGGGCCGTGATGTCACTCAGATCCCATACTGGAGAAATGTATGTTGGCCCAGGTAAGAAAGAAATTGCTGCTGAGCACAGTGGACAAAACTTTGTACTGTGTAGAAATAAGGCTGGAAAGGAGAGACTATGGAAATTTTGATGAAATATTTACATTTTCTTGTGTGAATCTCACAGAAGGGAGTTACAAAGAACAGAGATCCATACTTATGGTGAACAGGACACATTCAGGAAAACGTGGACAAGAGTAGTAACTGTGTGCTAGGTGCTTTGGTATGAGGGGTACATGGGCTATTTTTCATAGTCAAGCATGAACAAGAAGCTGTCAAAGGAACAGGTGCCCCATCTGGAAGGATCCAGCCTCTCCACCATATCATCACCATTAGGAAGCTTGGAACAGGCTCTGAGGAAACACAATTTGTCAGTCTTTGTAAAGCACCTGTAATATGTTCAAGGAAGCAAGTTTATTTCTCAGCCTTTAGCACTTGGGTCAGTAGATTTCACTCATTGACAGCTTAAACAGGACCTATGAATGATAATGTCCAAGAAATACAGAACAAACCTACAGCTCAAATAATCTATTTTCAATATTGGCTCAGAGATTTGGGCATCTACAAGATTGGGAAAATGAGGCTCCATTTTTGTCCAAAGGCTCCACTCCCTATGATCTTATCTTGCTCTGAGTACATTCAGCCGATTGCACAGTGAGGGCCTCAAGCTTTTGGATCCCCAGGTTCTTCTCAAAGGATCATATTCTGATTTACGAAGGTCATCCAGATCCTTAAATCCCCACATCCTGAACATTTTTCTTCCCTGATCTGATCTACATTTATTTCCATATCTCTCCACATGAACCATCTTAGTCTTTGAACAAGTTATATTTTGTGACCTCTCTTGAATCATGCATCATATTTTCCTTTAATACTGAATCTCAATTCTAATGTGTTACATACCATCTAGCCCTCTTGAATCATGTTCCTTGCAGTTTTGTTCCATTCTGTACTTCTGAAGTGGCCTGTTATGTTATCACAATTACAATGAAACTTTAATAGGCACCTTTGAATACGGAATCATCTGTTAAATACTGCATGGTTATTCCATGCAGAGAATGTATTTATGCAGCTGGTAAATCCTTTGAGAGTGTTCAGTTGTTCTGGGCACATAGAGGATTTTGAAATACTAGCAACTTGTATCTCAGTCAGATTCTCACCATGGCAACAAGCTGCTTACTTCAGGAAGAATGACAGTGACTGTTGTTGTAGGTTTTACAAAGCTTGATGCTCAGTGTTTTGTTTTGTAAGATGGCACTGTACCATATGTACACAATAGCTCTCTCTACATAGATTATAAGTGTGAGATTATATGTCATTAAAGACCAATTTTATAAACATATTTTTAGGTTAAAGGAAGACTGTAGCTAGGATCCAGCTTTACTTAAAATACAGCATAGTCTAAAGATTCATGCCTATTGTTCACTGAAATTGTTTAGCAAGAAATTTATCTAATTTATGGTGTAAAACTAGAGGATAATTTTCAGGAGAGCAAAAATCTTATTAATACACAGCCATCTCTTCTTTATAAAGACATTTTATATGTATGTGTATAAATATACATCATGCCACATTTCAGTGTTTCATATTAAAATGATTTCTTTGTAAATTTACAAGTTGTGTGATTAGGGAAATTTACAAATAACAATCTACATTTATGTGCATAATCTGAAAACAACATACATTTTTACATGCAAAGCCTTCTCCATTATACTTTGGCAATTTTCTGAATATTATGTGACTCTACTCTCCATTATAATTTTGTGACATCCTTCAATGTTTACCCACCTCTCAGAGAAGCCCATCTCTAAGATTTTCAGTGCTTGGATGGAGAGAAAAGAGACTCTTATTTAGACAATTCTCTCTGGTCAATTTTTGCTGAAAGTATAGTGGCTTTGAATATAAAACACTGTTATTTCTGTAATGTCACCTGAAATGGGAGGTACTTGTCTCCTTTGGTGCTTTTTGCCTCAATTTTAGACCATAAACACATCCTTGAAAATACAAAAATATTTGGATTCCCAGTGTCTAACAGAATTTTGAATTTATATCTAACATTAGTGTTTTATATGTGTTAGTACCAACATGTGTCACTCTCTGAATGTTGAATACCATTTATTAAAAACTATGTTTCCATCATAATTATATCATTCTATCATACATAGTTTCTTAATGCAGCACAAAGGTCACTGATATTAAGAAAATAAATTACTTTTGCTTTTGTTTTTCCATTTGGTACTAAACTTGGTTCATTTTGAGTGGGCATATTTTTGAAATAAGATACATCTAGTCCACTGGTAGTGTAACAATTGAATGTGTTTGTATCAGAGGATTCTATTGACGACCAGGAGCTTCACTGTTCCCACTGCCTCATGCCCTCCCTTCAGCTACTGTGGAAATGAAATTGTGCTATAATATTTCTCTCATGACTTGGTTATATGAAAAAAGATCAATTTACAGTATGATGAGAGTTACAGGGATTTTAAAGTCACCATGGATGACTGAAAATGGATGTTTCTCTGTGCCTTCCTGTCACATAGCCACTTCCAAATAATCACTTAGAGGCTTAATATTAATTCCAAAATGCTCAGCCAAACACCTCAAGCTTATTACTAACTAGCTTTTACTTCTAAATTAACCCAATTCTATTAATCCATGTTTTGTCATGTGTCCTGTGGCTTTACCTATGCTCTATCTAATGCATATTGCTCCTCCAGTGGCTGGCTGGCATCTCCCCGACTCTGCCCCTCCTCATCTGAGTCCTTAGTTTGATTGTTCTGCTAACCTTACCTTGCCTGGGTCTTGGTCAAACAGCTTTAATTATTAACCAATGAGAGGAATACATATTCACAGTGTACAGAAAGATCATTCCCCCAACATTTTCTCTTTTCTGTCTAATCAAAAAGGAAAGTTTTAACTTTAACATAGTAAGATTACATACAACAAAACAGTTATTGTGTAAGAATTACAGTTACTATATCTAGTCTATTTGTATTTGATAAAATTAGAGAAAATATTTAATTATCTATTCTATCTTGGTGAGTTTAAAGTTGTATATGTAATTTATCTTTTATCACAACTAAGAAAAACTATAACTATAATTATCTGCTCTTCAACTCCATCAACGATCTGAGAAGGAAAATAATATTACCTGAGCAAGCAGGAATTGCAAACAAGCAACTTCCAAAACATTACAAGAAATGATGACAGAAATAGCTGGCTGCCTGGACTCAAGGATTTTCTGTAACACCAAGGCATCCAGCTTTGATTTATAGGCCTAGAATATCTGACAGACCATTTTCAAGAAGCAGGAAATTTTGAAGAACTGTCCTACCTTGTCTTGGCAAGGTTTGGCATGGGCCATCATTCCCATCAGAGATCTTTTAGGGGGTCTTCCTTGATCAAACTATATTAATCTGAAGGAATCCACAGCTTCTCATGTTCTGTGGAAACAAAAGCAGAACCTTTTTTTCAAAACAATGTATCCTTAGACCCAAATTTTAAAGTCAAGATACTGTGGTGGTAATCTAATTGTATTGAAATATTATTTTGATTTGTACTGAAATATTAATTTTGTTGTATGTTAATAAATAAAGTTGTCTGGGGGTCAGAGCTATTAGAGCCATAGCAAGAGTGTGGCGGTGGTGGCACACGCCTTTAATCCCATAGATATCTGTGTGTTCAG